TAAATAGAAATGTATTTCTCACAGTTCTCAATACTGAGAAATCCAAAATCAAGGCAGCAGCAAATTTGGTGTCTGTTGAGGGTTCATTCCGTGCTTCACAGGTTATGTCTTATGTGCATCTTCATATATTGGGAAGGGCAAAAAGCTCCTTCCTGCCTCTTTGACAAAGGCACCATCTCATTAATTTAATCACTCTCCAGAGGCCCCACCTTCCAATACCATCACCTTAATGATTAAGATTCAGTACATAAATCTGGGAAGACACAAATATTCAGACTATTGCAAATGCTGTCTTTCATGTAAATATTTAATGCATTAAAGAATATATGGGTGGCTGGATAGATAACTAACAGGGAGGATATATGGGTAATAAATAAATGGCATGCTCAAGTCTGGCTATGATGCTGGGTACATATTACTGATTATGCTTCTGCTCGCTTCCTAGCTAAGGACTCACACTTTCTAATATTTTTTGACCCTGACATCTATATCCCTAGGCATACTCAAATCTCAGTATCCCCTCCTTGCCAAAGAATTCAGAGTTGACATCAATTGATCAACAAATATTTACCCAGCATCTGCTAAGTGCCAGGCTCCATAAGGTATATTTTCTATTCTATAGCTCATGGTCACCATAATCTTTCACAGTCTCATAATTTTAACTACCAGAGTGAGCCTCCCACTACAACTTTTAGGTGGCCAATTTCCTGGCACTTGTTCACTGAGAAAGGTTCTAGTCCCAAACTGGACTCTGAGTCTTACCACCTTGTTGCATTTTTCTAGGCATATGCTCAGCATGGATGTGAAAGGCAAGCTGTTTATCTCACCAGGAGCATGATGACTAGAGGAAGCCAGGCACACAGGAAGGTGAAGTACTGTTGCAGCTCTTGGCTATGGTTTGAGTATAGTTTGTCCCCACCAAAATTCAGGTTGAGGCTTAATCCCCTGGTGGATCGGTATCAAGGTGGTGGAGGCTTTATGGAAGATCATTAGGTCTTAGAAGTGTCCCCCTCAGAAGGGATTAATGCTCATTTGGAGAACTGGAGTGAGTTGTTACAGAACAGTGACCCTGGCCCTTTCCTGATCTCTTCCTTCCTCTCTTGCAATGTATCCTGTCTTGCACAAGCTAATGCTGATGCTATTCTCTGGACTAAAACCATGAGCCAGAACAGGCCTATTTTCTTTGTAAAATATCCAGGTTCAGTTATTTTGTTACAGCAACACAAAATGGATGAAGACATTATTAATTTCATTTTTTCCTTATCCTTTTTATTCCTCTCTACCCAAATTCCTACTCTTCTCTTGATTTTAGCTCTTAGCTCTGAATGCCATTTTCCTACTCCTTCAGGATTCAGGGTCATCTCCCACCACAAATGTCATCTTTGTACCCCTTTATCTGAGTTATGTGCTCATTCACTGTGATAGATGGAAATTGCCATCCAGACCCCACTGCAAGAGAATGCTCTTCCAGCTGCCAGGAGTGCAGTTTGAAGATAGCCTGAAGCTGTTAGCTCCTCTGGGGTCAACCTGAGCTGTAGAAATATGCTTTGCCTGAAATTACACCTTTGCAGCTAGTGGCACTAAGCCAGGAGCATAGACTAGCCACTTCAGCCTGATAGAGGACTTCACTGTTGGGCTTCAGAATCCTCTGCTGGGTTGGCTGAGCTGGTCAAGCATACATCAGAGTTCAACTTCTCCCTCTGCACAGTCCTGCTCCCTCCCCCATTCCTTGTGCAGGTGTTTATCACTACCAATTGTCTGCACCCCAGACAGACAGACAGAGAGACAGAGACAGAGAGACAGAGACAGAGACAGATAGAGACAGAAATAGAGAGAGACAGACAGAGAGATTCTTTTATAACCTAGTGTTGGAAGGGGTGCCTCATTATTTTTACATACAGTATCTATTCTTTAGAACCCAGTCCAGCCCACACTCAAGGGAAGGAATGATAAGAGGGCATAAATACTAGAGGGATGATATGGGTTGAATTGGATCCGCTATCTCAAATTTATATATATTGAATTTCTAAACCTCAGAATGTGGTATTTGCAAGGGTAACCAAGTTAAAATGAAGTTAGTAGGGTAAGGCTTTTACTGACATGACCAGTGTCCTTTAAAAAGAGAAAATTTGGAGATAGACATGTGCATAAAGAAAATGCCATCTGAATGTTAAGGTAGCCATCTACAAGCCAGGTGAGACATCTGAAACAGATCCTCAGTCATGGACCTCAGAAGTATCAACCCTGGCAACACCTTGAGCTTGGACTTCTTTGCAAGATCATATATGTTGGGCTAAGCCACACAGTGTGTGAGGTACTTTGTTAGTGGCGGTCTCAGTCAGCTAATAGAAGGATCACTGGGAACTGTTTCAGAAGCTGCCTGTGATGTTAATTTTATGTGCCAAATTGACTGGCAAGAGGTGATGGAATAGCTGTCAGGTGTTATTTCTGAGTGTGCCTATGAGTGTGTTTCCAGACGTTGTTAACATCGGGATGTGTGTACTGAGCAAAACAGGTGATCCTCTCCTGTGCAGGTGGTCAGCATTTACACTGTTGAACATCAAAATAGAACAACTACCAGAATGCACAGGAAGACTGAATGTGTTGGGTGTCTATCTCCTGCCCCTACACTTATTCTCAAACATTCAGACAGGAGCTAGAGTCTGCAGTATGCTCCTATGACTCCCAAGTGTTCCAAATGATATTGCCAAATTTTCTGGGTCTCCAGCTTGCAGAGAGTAGATTGAAGGTTTTCTGAGCCTCCACAACTCTATAAGCAAGTATCTTTAATAAATCACTCTTTCCCTTCCCCAACATCCATGTACCCAAATTATCTATCTATCTATCTATCTATCTATCTATCTATCTATCTATCATCTATTCTATTAGTTTGCTTTTTCTGGAGAATGACGACTAATACATTGCTCATCACCATGGTAGGAATAGTCTGATGCTAAGGAAGGGGCTGATTCAGTAGATAAACAGATGGAAATTGCAGGCTTTGTCCAATAAACAGAGTGAGAGGGAAAAAAATGTGTTCAGTGTGTCTACCTTCATTTGTAGGTGAGAACCAAGGGTTGCGTGTTAATTAGCATCATTTTGAATGGTTTTAGGTTTTAGTGGCAAGGAGGGTCTGCGATTTCCATCTATTTATCTACTGAATGTGGATGGAGGTTGGAGGGCACACAGACTTGGAGACATGTGAAAGCTTGTGGTTCTCCAGGGAAAGACATGTCATGAAGCACAACAGAGCCAGATAAGTGAGGAGCACAGATAGGTCATAGACAATGGCAGCACCACAGAAAGTCCTACAGAGGATGATGGCTCCAGTGGCCAGTCATAGAACACAGGACACAGGATATACGATGTAGTTAACAGAGTTTCATTTGCGAATGGGCCATGCCAGAGACTTGCACCCGGCAGTCTGTTCTCACAGCCACCTCCCCTTAGACAGACAGTAAGTGGTGGGATGGTGGTGGGGTGCCTATGAACAGCCTGGGTCTGACAAGAAAGGGCCCCAAGATGGTCCACTCTATTCCTAGGCCCAGTTTACCAACCAGGTAAGACTGTTCTCTGAGGAGAGAAGCCACACCACATATGTCTCCCTCTGGAGGAGCACAGGAAGTCTGTGTCCTCTTCTCCGCTCTCCCACTTCCTGGGATTTGGAAGCTCTTTACTTAGCTTCCCTTTTAGCATATTTACCTCTGGAAGCCTTCTCAGACAGGTGCCTGATCGGGCCCAGGCTTCCTGTCCCTCCTATACCTCCAAAGCCCCTCAGCCTACCTGTGACACACACTTGCAAACCTGCCTGAAAGTGGCTTCATGTCTCCCCTGTTTCCAGGCAGAGGGCAGAGTTCGTGACTTCACTTACTTTGAGGCTCCAGCACTTGGTACAGATCCTGAACAAGTTTCTGAAGATCGCGTGAAGGGACATCTCACTTCTTTTGCTTTGTACTCAGGCCCTAGGCCTCGTTCTGTTAAAGTTCCCAGTTCTTGCTTCCTCTGTCTGTCAGTGTCACCTGTCAGGTGAGGGCAGATACATAGGAGAAGTTTGGGGCTGTGTGAGCTTGCCTGAGCCAGAGCAGACCAGTCAGCCCCAAGAGTAGAGCACCGGGCTGGCTGGAATGTGCCTGCTGGAACCACCTCTCCAGGCCTGATGTTAGACCCCTCTAATTTGGTATTGAAAACATGTGGTTTTGTCCTTGTTCAAATATTGATTTTAGGTAACTTGAGCCTGCTAGAAAAGGCCTCTACGGAGGCCAGTGGGGCTGTTTGCTGCCTTAATGACATTTCTGTGTGTTTGTATAACACAGGCTGGCAGTTGAGCCCTTGCTCCCAGGGAAGATTTATGGGACTTTACACTTTGGAAGACATTGAGGCAAACTGTTGATGAAGGTCCAGGGCATAAATCAGACCCACTCAGGCCAATAAAGGACACATTAGAAGTTTTGCCAACTGCCTTCTTCCCTTGTGTGCAGTGAGGAGTCTGGAGTAGGTCAGCTGGTTTATTGTGTTTCATGGAAGAGCTGGAGGTGGGGGAGATTGGGAAGCGGAGTGATGTGGTAGTATACCGAACAGGCAGGGTTCTATAATTCTCCAGAACTATGTATCAGAGCAGGGGCTCTTCCTAGATTGCTGCAGGTGAAAATATAAAAGTTTGAGAACTACAACAATGGAAGACTTTGACCTCCCACCTAGACCTAAAACTCTAGTACCGAATTGTCCTGGGTCCTAACTGAAGTCAGTGTTGTTACAAAGAGATCGATGAAGAGACTATTAACAAAAGTGTGACTGCAGTTAGAGGGAACAAACATGGGATGAGGAAGAATCAGAGGTTGGTGGCTGAAGCTGCAGAGAGAGCCAGAGCTGTGTGGGGGCCTCAGCAGAGGGCTACCGGCTGAGAGCCAAGGTATTTAATGGAGGACTCCTTTGTGAAATCACAAAGGAGGACACAGCTTAGCACCTATTGCTAAGCACCTATTGTACACACACAGCTTAGTACCTATTGCTCACCCTCAGATTTCCTGGAGCTGCCTCCCATTGGCCAAACCCAACTAGAAGCCAGAGGATGGATGTGGTAAGTGAAGGCCTGGCTTCCAGAATCAGACACTGAGTGTGGACAGTGGGTTTGCAGGGTGGGTGGAAACTGTCCCACCCACAATGAGAACTTTGCAAATCACTGCAGGTGGCAAGGTGCAGAAGGCCCTGCTTTGCCTTAATCTTCCATTAATTGCCAACTTTTAGACTGGCACTCACATCATCAACTGCCCTGTTTCTGTTTTATATAAATAGGAGTTTGGCAATTCCTTCCACTCTTTTCCAGTACTGAAAAATGATCCCATGTTTGTCTGGTTAGGCAAATGCTGGTTAGCAGAGTTTAAGGGGATAGGGGAAAGGATATGACTAACAGCACAGGCCTAAAGGTCATACATAACTGTATTTCAATGTTGATTTTATCTCTTAATAGCTGGGCAACTTTGGCAAGTTATAGCAACTCTCAGAGCTTCAGCTTCTCACCTGTGAAGTGGAAAAACGTGTTACCTTATAACAGTCATACAATGACAAAACAAGTTTAAGCCTTTGGTGCACTTAGGGTTAAGCACATGGTTAGCAATCAGTTGGCAGTCATTATTATGCTCAAATGTGGGCACACTGGAAAACACTTTCATCTCTTTAAGTCTTCAGTCTTTTTTAAATTTTCCATGCTTGTCTCTTCTCTAACCCTCTGTGCTCCAGGCTGCCTGGCCAAAACTTTAGCAGTTTGGAGGAAGACATTTAATAATGTCACCTATACCCAGTGAAAAAGGACCAATTGCCTCAAACTTCAGTGTTTGCCCTTATGAAAGTCCTCTGCCCTGTCCAGGACTCACATCTCCAGCTCTGCTAGTCTCAGTCACCACAACAAACCATGGCATCTGCAGAGCCCACCAAAGCACCCCGGATCCCCAGCTGAATGCAGCAGGTCTTTGTTTTTCTGTCTTTGGGCATGTGAGCTTCAGGCAGGGCATGCTGGTCCAGTTGTGTTCATTGGCACATAGAACCCAGCCCCTGCCAAGGCCAAACAGAGTGTGCAGTGGGTCTGGATGATCCAGGGCAACTGCTCCCCTCCCTTGTGTTACATCAAACACCATTCCCCCAGGGACCTAGGGAGAAAAATAACCAGTTCACATCTCAGCTGCTGGCCCTGGCCATAAGTCTGCACGATTTACCTTGGCTCTCACTTGCACTAAGAATGAGGTCATCGAAGGAGGAGACAATGGAGAAGACCTTCGGAAGGGGCACAGTAAACCATCTGTCAGGAGGCAGGAAAGAACCCTTGAGTCATAAGATCCTTGGCCGCTGTTTTTGAGAGGTAAATAACTTCAGAAGTCTTTGCCTGTAGGATAAAATATGTGTTTTTTTGTATACCAAAGGCCAGCTCTAGACTCTTCTCTCATTTGTTTATTTTTATTGAATCAGTTCATCCAAGGTATAGGAGTAAGGTATGGTCAAATGATCGGGAACTGGGATCTGGAGAGGAAAGTTATCAGGCATCCAGAGCCAGGGAAAGCCTGAGGCGGGCTGGGCCAAGCACTCCATCCCCTCTGCAGGCCTCTCTACCTTCACATGCTGTAACCCTGCTGACTTTCTCATACTGCTCCCCACCCTCTGACTCTCAGTTTCAGATCTGTGCCCCTGCAACCTTCTGGAAAGATCTTCCCCACTGCTCTTCCCTCCAACAATTCTTGCACCTTCTGTGAAAATGTTAACATGTTGGTTCATTAGGTTCCTTCCCTAATTCCCCAGTTCACTGCTTCTTCCTGATGGCCCAAATACAGTTGTCCCTGCAGCAGGGGCATCCATTCTGGACTAGGAAGTAGAAGTTTAAAGCTTTAGATGCAGGGTCTGTAAGACAGAAAGAGACTGGATCCCAAAGTTTTCGTAAAGATGCCTACAAGTTCTGAATTTCTTGCCTCTGGATTTCTTTTTCTTTCTTTTTATTTTTGGGACTGGGAATCGAACTCAGGACCTTGTACTTGCCAGGCAGGCATTTGTGCTACTGTGCTATATCCCCAGCCTTTTTTTTTTTTTCATTTTTCACATTGAGATAAAATTCATATAAAATTAACGATTAGATATTGTGGTGGATTAACTAATGGTCAACTTGCAATGCTCAGATGAACTGAGTCAGCATGGTTCTGGGTGTGGAAGGCCCACCTGAGGATTTTGCCAACAGTGTAAGAGCAGAACTGGAGGGGAAGATGGTGTGCTATTGCCTCTCCTGGAGAAGCTTGTCATGCTGGTTTTCCTGATATGAACTCAGCTGTTATCATTGGTGGAGGAGTTTGGAATCTCTCAGTTGCTGAGGATGGCTGTAGTTCTCTTTGGGGGAGTTCCAGTCCTTACCTTGAGCAACACTTCCTGGCTCCAGGGCAGATACCTCAGCCTGCTGGCACAGATCCTTTACCCCACTGGTGTAGACTTTCTAGCTTTCAGCGCTGACCTTTGGGCCTTTCTCATGCAGATCCTTAGAACAGACTTGCATGAGACATTGTTGTGGGCTGTAGGCCTCCAGATGGATTCACAGAGGACATTGCCTTGGGCTCTGGGTCTTCAGGAAATTGCTGTGGGATTCTGGCCCTCAACTGGATTCTTAGGGTCTGTAGTACATGGATATCTCTTGCACTCCTTTGTTTTTTTTTTTTTTTGGTTTTTCTCTGGTACCGGGAACCGAACTCACAACCTTGCACTTGCCAGGCAGGCGCTTTGCCGCTGAGCTAAATCCCCAGCCCCAAAAATCCAGATCTTTGTTTTTTTTTTTTTTTTTGGTTTTTCTCCGGTACAGGGAACCGAACTCACAACCTTGCACTTGCCAGGCAGGCGCTTTTTGCCGCTGAGCTAAATCCCCAGCCCCCTCTTGCACTCCTTTGCATTTGACTTTTACGGTGAATATTATAAAATGATCCTATAAATTATGTGTCCTATATTAAATCTATTCCCTTGAAAACCCTGACTACAATAGACATTTTAAAATGTACAATTCAGTGACATTTATTACATTCACTATATTGTGTAACTATCACCTCTCTCCAGTTCCTAGGCATTTTAGTCACTCCCAGCGGAAATGCCTACCATACACATTAAGCAATCACTTTCCACTCCATCCTCCCCTTTGTTCCTGGCAACCACCATTCTGCTTTCTGCCTGTATGGATTTACCTATTATGGACATCTACAACCAGAATCATGCATTAGTGATCATTTATGTCTGGTTTCTTTCACTTATCATGTTTCTGAGGATCATCCATATGTATTATTGATCAGTACTTTGTTCTTTGTGTGGCTGAATGATATTTATACATGTATGTGTATGTATATATATCTATATATATATGGTCACATTTATATGTATATTCATTGGTTATGTAGGTTGTTTCTACTTTCTGGCTGTTATAGATAGTGTTCTTATGAATGTTACATATAAGTATTTCTAGATGTTTTATATTACACAGAAATATATTTTTATTTATTTAACCCAATATATGGGTTTTCTGTCACTCTAAACTGATCATACCTTTAGCTAATAGATGGGAACTAGTAGTCATGGTTTAAAAATTACACCTCCTCCTTCCATGTCTATTTGAAAGCAGAGAGTATTAAGAAGCAGAACAACCTATGCTATCATTTTCTCTTCACCACCATTTCCTGTGTTTCTGTGGACCTCAGAAATCTTATCTACAAAATGGGGATATCCAGGCCCCCAAAGGCAGGATCTAAGCCAGATAATCTCTTGGAGTCTCTTTCATTTGATTCTTCAAAGTTTGTTTTGAAAGTACTGGTAGTTAGAGTAAATATTGAAGTGTCACATCACTTTCTATGGAACGCTTGCCCTAGCTCATTAGCCTGCTTTGTGCTTGAGTTTGAATGTTTGCTTTTTCTTTTGTTTCACCTTTATAGCTGCAGTTTTCATGTTCCATCTTAAATTCATTATATAATGTTTAATTTATTGGTAGAACGCACAATCCTGTAAAATAAGGCCTTTAAATGCAGCTTGCTGTCAAATGAAGTACAGAAAAGCAAGCCATAGTAACATTTATTCCAAGCATTTCTTCTCGTTCAGATTCCTGACATTCATTCCTAAGGCCTCTGACTCCTCAGTGTATATAGATTTGAGTATTTCTTCCAGTCATTCTTGGCTGTTCTGTCAACTGCCTGTCTTGTCTTTATCCTACCCATCTGATCACCTGAGCCCAGCTATGGCGTAGAGCCAATGCTGTAAAGAGCCTTGGATCCATCAAATCTCAGAAGCTGGTCTGGTCCCAGTGCCGCCCACTTCCAGAGGAAGGGATTCAGAAAGCTTCATGGTCATAGGTGCACAGAAAATAGTTACTAAAGAAATTCCTGAAAGAAAGACCATAGTTGATCAAAATTTCTTACCATTCTTTTATTCTGAGGAATAAATAGAGAATCGAGTCCAGTCTTGATCCTTGTGGGAATCTGGGGCCACAGACAGGAAAATGATCCATGGGATTCTTCAGCATCAGTCTGAAATTGCATTTCTAGCTCCATATTTCAAGTGTAACTACTTCTAGCCCCTCTTTTCTCCACCAGCTTCCCTCTAAATTAGCTTAGTTCTTGATAGATATAAATGTATGTTAAATTAAGTTTGAAAACCTTTTAAAGTTAGTACTAACTCATATATATCTTATACATGTGTTTATCACATGCCAGGCACGGTGAAAATTCTTTTGCATAAATCACTGATGATTGCTTCCAATTCCACTTGTGATAGGTCATATGATTATTTTCATTTTATATGTGAGAACATGGAAGCCTTTCAGACAGGCTAAGTAACTTGTTCAAAGTCTCAGTTGGTGAAGGTTCACTAAAGCCATCTGACTTCAGGCTATGCACATAACTACTCTGCTATACTCAAAGTGCGGTGCAAATGTATACATTATACATAACCCATGTATACATTCGTCCTTTTATAAGGCTGAGTATCTCTGTTGGATTCCTTGATTAAGATAAAGAGATCCCTTGAATGGGGTAAAGAGATTTCATGTAAGGTGAGATAATAGGAAGTATTTCCACATTATTTCTAACATGCCTTAGTAGTCCTTAACGCTCAGTTTGAATCACAAGTTACTTTTTTATGGTGGGATCCTTTCAAGGTGCTCTGGGTCTTTAATAATTAGGAAGAAGTTAATAATAGGCTGAATACTGGAACCCCAAGGTATTACTAGGTCATAATACCTGGAATCTGTCTTCTTATATAGCAAAGGCTTTGCAGATGTGATAAAGATTTGAGATGAGGAAAATGTTCTGGCTCATCGGGGGTGGAGGGGCATCCCAGCTGTTTTTCCAAGGGGAAGCAGAAGGAGATTGGATTCCACACAGAATGGAAGGTGGCACAGGATGACCACAAAGGCAGAAGGACTGATTCAGCCTCCAGCCAAAGATGCTGACAGCCACCAGAAGTTGGAGAAAGCAAGGAATGTGTTCTCCCTCAGAGCTTCTGGAGAGCCCTGATTTTGAGTCAGTTAAGCTCATTTGAGACTTCAGGTCCCTGGAACGAGCAGGGAATAAATGTGTGTGATTTTAAACCATCAAATATGTGGTCCTGGGTTATAACAGACACAGGAAGCTAATATACCAAGTTGTTATAGTCTGCTGCTCTGAACCCAGGGTGGAAACATACCAAGTAGGAAACTGAATTTCAAACAAGTAGTTGACTTGCCCAGAGTCTCACAGCAAACAGGTGGTGGAGCTGAGATTCAAATCTAGCTATTAATTCTTGAACTTCGCAGATCACTTTATAGTTTGTAACACTTTAACATACTTGCCTCTTTCTGGGGAACCCAGAAAACTTCACTCTTTTTGGTAGACTGGTCACTAAGGAGCTGAGATTGAAGCCAGGCTGGGTCTGCTGCCCTTCTGGTCCTTTCCTCTGCCTGTGATGACTTTAAATGCTGCATGAGGTCTTGTCATGAGCTCTCTGCCCCCTAGGTCATGCACTTCCAGCTTATCAGTCCGACCTTTGGTTTGCCATGGCAAATCCTTTTGTGGAGGAAGCTGCCGTCAGGTGGCCAAAGCACTGGCTTCACAGGACTGCATTGTCCTTATTTAGAATTGCTTTCGCTTAAACCAGCCCGCTCTTGCAAAACATGTTTATTCTGGTTTCCTCTTCCCCACACCCCAGCTGCCTGACCAGTTTGAGCCTAGAGCACAGCAGCTCCAGCTCTCAGACCTGAGCCAGGAAGGGCAAGGCAAGGAGAAAAACAGGAGGTTCTGAGCACGGGGGTGGGAGGCATGGTTGCTTTTCCCAGGCTGTGGGCAGAGGAGACAGGAGCCCTCTCTGGGCACTGTGTGGCCCCTGAGGAGATAGCACATTCAAAACACACCCCTGCTAGGATCAACTTCAGCTTACCAAGCACAGAGAATTCAGGATAGAGCTTTGCTGATTGGAAACCCAACAATTTTAGAGTAGCAAATATTAATACCAATGAAAGTTTTGATAATACGGCAATTTCCTTTTACTCAATACTTGTTATAAACCGAGCAGAGTGGTAAATCTCTTAAATAATTTATTTCATTTAGTTTTTAGGAGAACCCTTGTAGATAGGTACTTTTTAAACCCTGCTTCATAAATGAGGAACTGAGACTTAGAGAACTCCAGGTCCTAAGCCGTGAAAACTGAGGTTGAAGCCAGGCAGGTCCTCCAAGGCCTGGAGAGGTTCTCTTACACAACCCTCTTCCTGAATGACCTTGTTAGGAGTGAGGTTCTGGAGCAGGGTGACTGACCCAAGGTCAGTTCCTGGCAGGGCCAGTTTTTCAGCATTCTGGGACAATGTTCTTTCTAACAGGTTGCCTGCATGTAAGTTAGTTTAGAAAAGAAGAAAAAAGAATTCAAGATTGACCACTTGCTCTAACTTGAGGGCTCTTTCCCTTTGCAATGGCAGGCAGAAACACTGAAATGACATCCAGGATTTGGAGGCAGATTTATTTACAGCGATGGGCACTGATCAAGATCACTCCCAGAATATCAGGCCCTGATTTCAGGTGGTCTAGGACTTATATGGGATAAGCAAGCAGGAAATACGGAGGCAGAATGGCTTGTCAGTTGGGGATTGGTTTTTACAGTGTGCCTTACAGTGACCAGCTGTTTCTAAGAGACAGGAGCGTCTGGAACTAAAATAGGAACTATTACCTGGGCAACTAAGAAACTGAAGTGTACTGGTAGGGGTAGAGGGCATTTTCTGCTACACCTTCACCCCTTTGAATCCCACTGTAAAGGTGTTGTTGTCCTTGAGACCAATATCCTTCTTCCATGGGATATCAAGTATAAAGTTTCAGATAGAAGAGAGAGAAACCAAACATTGGAGGCCAGTGAGCCTGGCAGATTCCTCTGGACAACTTTACACAGACAGCATGTTGTGAAACCTGTTTGCTGCAGTCATGTCATGGGCTTGTTCAGTTCTTCTAAGGAATATCCCTGTTTCACAGGTAAATAAAGTTCAGAAGCAATAAGGCCTCTCTCTGAGGGAGACAGCATGAGAAGTGGTTAAGCCTGTCCTTAATCCATGCCTCTGACTGCCTGCTGACAGTACACGGAATACTGCCAAGAAGTTCAGTCCCTTCCAGGCTAAAGAGCTTCAGCCTGGCCATCATGCTGTCTGTTTACCTTTCAGAAATGGAATGTTTTGAAAATACTGATCTTGCCTCAAGCAAAGGGGCAGAGAAACAGAAGACTCTTAAGTGTGTTTTCTTGGCAGTAGGAGAGGGGGTGACTGTCAGGGAGGAAGGCAACCCAAAAAACAATCAATAACAAAGAAAAATTTTTTTCAATATTTTCAAGTCACTCTCTCAGAAAGCTGCAGCAGAATTCCTCCAAATAATCTTTCTAATACCTGTGCCACACACAGATGAGGCGGCCTTCCTGATGACTGGCCCTGCATTGAGTTCAGAGGCAAATGTCAACATCTGCATGGAGACTGGACAGCAATTAAAAGAAGTAACTTGCCACCGCAAGTGTTACCTCCTGTCTAGTGAGTTGGGATGGGAAGGCTCCTTGGAGGTTGCTTGGAGCCTGTCCAGCACACAGCTGGTTTCCTTCCCTATCCTTTGGCTTCTGCCTCTCTCTTGTTCTGATTACCACTGTCCTTTATGTCTCTATTGTGAGGTTTTTTTTCTTTTTTACCAGTACCGGAATTCAAACTCACTACCTTGTGCTTGCCAAGCAGGCACTGTGCTGCTGAGCTAAATCCCCAGCCCCTTGCTGTGGGTTTGTACAAGGTTCATGGTTGGCTTTACAAAAGGTGGTTAGGACATCAGTCTGATGAAATGAAAGGGCTATGCTTACAATCTTCAGGACTCCCTCTAATATTTTTTTTCTAGCTACCTAATGGCGAATAGTATAAGCAGCTTGTCTCTTCAGAGTAAGATGGGAATTCATGGTTATTTTGCTGAAAGCAATCCTCAATTTTTTCGTTTATATAATAGTCATGACCATCCTTGCCTTCTCCTACTTCATGATATGCTGTCAAAGATCAAAGAAACATACACACCTGACAACTCTAAATTGCTAGACCGAGTGCTAAGTTACTGGGTGGTCTAAATTTGAAGTTTTCCTTCCCCTTCCTGGAAAAAGCTCTAAGTAGTGATTTTTTTCAGCACTTGTTGCCAGCCAGGATCTCTGTCATGCTTTTTAGACCAGAGCTGGCAGGAGGGAGGTGTGGGCAGTGTGGGTGGGTGTGAGGGGTAGGAAGGAGATCCCCTGGGTGAATCAAAGGTGCTTTTCAAGCTTCAGAACTGCTGGTTCCAGGTGGACCATTCTTTCTGAGCCTCACTTTCCAGTCTGTGAAGTTGGACTTCTGTGCCCGCCTTACAGGGCGTTGGAGAGACTTCATAAGAAATGAAAGTGGATGCTAAATATTCATTTGCATACCGAATTTGTATCTGCTACTTGACATTTGCGACCTCAGCACTCATAACCTCCTCCTCCCTATGCTTTATTAGATCTTCTTCAGAGTAATGAGAATTGAGCCTCAGAGAAGTTAACCAACTTGTCTAACACAAAAATGAAATTTTAACATAGAATTCCAAAATTGGAGAACTTTCTGCTAGCTTCACTTTGCCTTTTAGCTGTGTATGTGAAAATACTCTAAACACCGTAAGGCAGTGTGGAGAACCACGTGTTTTTATGAGCAATCCAGGAGCCTATTATGTTGAAACCTTGGGAGGCAGTCTAGCATTGGAGAACATGGGTTCAGTTCTTCTCTCCCTGGGGATACAACTTTCCCTTGTACAGGATAGAAGGTGACTTTCTTAGATCACCTTTAAAGCCTCATGTTTTTTCTCAGCTTTGACTTTCTAAAATATATATGAATAGAGTTTTTAAAAAATTAATGAGTTAATGTGCAAATGGGGAGGAGTGAACTGATACTTGTTGTGTCCTTGATATGCCATGTGACTCGTGGCTGAAGGTTTCCAGAGGTAACTGTCCCGATTCCTGTGTTCTCTGAGCATGAACATTGCTATTCACATTAAGAGGTAATGTCCACTTGAGACTTCTGCTGGAACCTGGCCTGGCTTCAGTCACTTATTTGACTGACTGAACTCAACAGCATGATTTTCTAGACCTACCAGGGCAAGGCCCCAGGAAGCCACTCAGCTCCCTCCTGGTTCTTTCACAGTACAGCTGGCTGCTGTCTCTGCAGGCTCTCCATTCAACAATTCCATCAGCCATGAGTGGAAAACTGTTTACAAAATTATGAGTGTATTGAACATGTACAGAATTTTTATCATGTCATCATTCCATTAACAGTATTGTATTAAGAACCATAATCTACAGGTGATTTAAAGTGAAAGGGAGGACATGCATAGACGGTTATATACAAATGCCATTTTCTTTCTTATAAGGGACTTGAGCATTTTGAGGTATTGGCATGGGGCCATGGAACCCATCCCCCATGAATACCAGAAGACAGATAGACTGGCTCTTGGGATACTTCCCTTTGGAACCCTCTCTGGTCCTGTAGGATTTCTATGCCACATGGAAAGGCCATGTTTAAGTACTCCAGTTGACAGCCATAGGTGAGCTTCCAGCTACCTTGGTGTGCAAGTCACCTTGGACAGCCAGGCCAGTTAAACCCTCAGATGACTCTAGCCCCAGTCGATGTCCCACTGCAACTACATAAGAGCCTCCAAGCACTGGTTCACTGAGCCCAGCAACCCACAGGTTTGTGAGAGGTAATCATTATTGCTGTCTTAGCCACTACATTTGGGGTGAGTTGATAGGCTGCAGTACATAATGGATACACACCATTTAATCACCTTAAAACTTGCTTGCACATTTAGTCTATTTTATGGAAAGAGGACCCGACACTCAGAGAGGTTAAGTTAGTTGTCTAAAGTCACATAGAAAGTGGCAAATCTCTTTCTATAAATCTATTCGATTCCAAATAGAATCGAATAGATTTATTACCAAAGAGTCCCTTTTTCCATTAATCATGTATTCATAAACACACAAGACTGATACAGACAACTGAATCTAAAAATTACACAATTGTAAAATTCAGGAAAATTGTACAATAATAGCTTTAATTTTACTATTAATTATCCACAAGATTTTAACGCTGATTATGGTATGTAAAGCTAAAATAATTCTTACTTTTCAGTGCTATTTTGGCCAAACTTCTGGCCAAAAGTCTGTTCCCAGCATCCTACAGCTCCCCTTTCCTCTCTGAAAATCACCTATTTTCTTAGCCTCTTCATCCTAAAACACAGTCTCACAGACTTTGTGAGATATCTATACATGGACCAAAATAAGGACCTTACCTCATTCCCCAGGTTGGTCACTACCTTCTCCAACTTGCATACCTGCCATCTCCATGACACCTGAGTCCTTTGCTCAAGGCATATTCAGCAAATGATACCTATGTGTCGATTTGGAGCAGGCACTGTGCTTGGTACTGAAGACTCAGAAACTGGGATCCTGACCATCAGCTAAAAGACCAGCACAAAAGCAAGCAAACAGGCATCACCTATGACAGGTTCATGCACTGGCTCCTGGCGACCCGAGGTTTGCTCTTCTCCTTTGCCCTCCACTGTGCTCATCCTGCACTGAGCTCCCCACAAGCCCCTGATCATGCCCCCTGTATCTCACCCTACCTTGCTCCTGCCATTCTGTACACTCCCTTACCTGGCAAGCCTCAGCATTGTTTTATTACCTTTGTCAGAAGACTTAACAGAATCCCTGTCATGGTTAGCCACTTTGTGTCTCTCTCCCTTTAGACTAAGTCCCTTCAAAGGGAGAACTGTCATTTTCATTTTGTTTCCCATGCCTTTTTCTAAAACAGGTCAGATCTATTACATGTAGAAAGCACGAGTAAAACAGCAAAGCTAGGTTAATGAATGCAAGCATTTCAGTTCAGTGTTGCCATCAGAGCTCAATTTATTTTTGCTCTTTCTTTTGGTTCTTGAGTTTGAAAACTTGGATGGACAGATGAGTAGCTGAATGTGTAGCTGTGAAGAGTGAGCCTCATGGTCCCTGTGGAGGACAAATACTGACTGAGAAGGTTGCACAAAAATAACTTGGCAGTGTGCGAAGTCATTGGATAGCAACTGTGCAACTGAAGAAACAAACAAGGTAAGTATAGACTGTGTTTTAGGATGAAGAGGCTAAGAAAATAGGTGATTTTCAGAGAGGAAAGGGGAACTGTAGGATGCTGGGAACAGACTGAATAATTCGTGTATGCAGATGACTGAAGGAAGAACATGTTAGACAACGTAACAGTATGTGCAAAGGTCCTGAAGCAGGAAAAAACCTTTAATTAACTCTATACTCTCCCTTTAGGAAATCAACCACAGGCTTCAGATAAACCTAGCAGGCCCTTATAGATACCTAACCTCTTTTCCCTATAAGGGTGTCACCTGAGCACACCTGGGTAGGGGACACTGGGTTCATTTTGTAGCTGAAGAATAGAACAGGAATGCGATGGCCACGCACATCTGGTTATTGACAAAGCTAAGTGAGGAACAGCACTTAAGTCCTTAAGTGCAAGATGGAAAGTACACCCCCACACAGCCCCACAGCAAGAAGGTGGAGTCCATCCTAAAACCAACTTTCTCTCACAAGAAGCTAGGGATTCTGTGCCAAAGTGGGATTTATGATCTAGTAACTGAGGACAGAAATAATTGGTCACAGAGCCTGGCAAGCTGGTCTGGGCTCCACTGCAGAGGGGCACAGACTGAAATAGCCGAGGCAAGTTTACTTTTCTCAGCCCAGGTGCTCTCCTATGGCCAGCAAAGCCCTAATGAGTGCTGCATATTCAAGGCACCAGTAATTGATGGTCCAATTTAGAGTGTGCAGAGACCACATTTCTTTCCATGTTCAGAAGGAAAAACATCAGCTGAGAATGGATGAAAAACTGCCTGTTCTAAGTCATTCTCCTGCTGTAGCCATTCAGTCCCCAGGACGGCCAAGTCCACCTTGTCAAGTACCTGGAGAAAGGTGTCAGTTACCTAGAGAAGTCAAGCAGAAAGGAATGGACAGAGTGAGGGTTACACACTGAGAGGGAGGTTCCAGGATCTGAGCTGGACTGGACTGAAGGTCTCACAGGAGAGTAACAACATACCTTGCAATGCACAGAAGCTGGAATTAAGTGCTTTGACACTGAGACCAGACAGACCTGGATTTGAAAACGAGTTCAACCACCTATTATATATGTGATTGGGTAAAATGTGACTTCTCTGTGCCTTAGTTACTGCTTTGCTAATTGGGAATTAAGAGCTCAGATTTAGGAGCAATCAGAATTTGATGTCAGTGGCAGCTGTCATACTGACTGTGTCCAAAGGGTGAGTTACTGAACCTCCTGTGTTAATTTCTTCATATCTGAAGAGGACCTGACTATAGGTTACCGTGGTGGAGTGTGAGGAGGACTGGTTGAGATATGACATGAAACACAGACGCAATGCTTGGGAAAGTTACAGAAAAGTGGCACACACCACTGGGTAAGCTCTAGGCCTGGCAGCAAGCCTTACTGAGGCCTGGTCAGAAATGTACATCCTCATACCCCAGACTGCTGGAACTTCAAGGGTGGGCCCAGCACTCTGCTCCAAGTCTCTCTGGTGATGTTGGTTCCAGTTAGACTTTGAGAATCCCTGTACTAGATAGCAGTTCAGAGCACACCCAAGACATTTAAGGTCATTTACAAGTGTCTCAGGTCCCTAAGAACTTATTCAGCCCACGATCCTTGCAAATGACCCCTGCTCATCTTTTCTGGACCAAAGAGGGAACAAATACTTTATTTTTCAGAATTTCCATCTCACAAATAATAACATTTTCTGTATGCTTGCTATATTCCAGGCATGCTGGTTGTACTGTCACTTGGGTTATTGCATTTTGTCTGTACAATAACTTTCTATGATAGACACTGTTATCTTTGTTACACAAATAAGGAAACTGAAGTTCTGTGAAGTGAAATAACTTGCTCCAAGATCCACAATCCATGAGTGGTGAAACTAGGATTCAAACCTCATTGATCTGTTTTTGGAGTCAATGTGCCTTCTGCTTGTCTTACCATATTTTCATACCAGGAGGAAAACTCAGGGAGATCTAATGTGAAGAAGAGAAGCATCCGAGTATCCTCTGCAGAGTAATCTTCGCACATCATCAGGTTCTTATCACATGGCTCTTGTGATCATGAGAATCAACCAGTTTGATGATGTTCCAAACCTCAGAATATAGAGCAGTGGTGGAAACCACAAGAACCAAGATGGAGACTTGACCAAAGGAAATAACTTTCAGTGGTCATCTACATTGTCTGGTGATATCCCATGTCATGAGGCACAAACTCCTGTCATGAGGCTGTTCGAGCTCAAGCTGAATGAGTGCTGTCCAGATGTTATGGAAGGAAGAATGACTGGATCCTTCTCTCTACATGACACTTCTTACCCCAGAGGAGAGGCCACATTCTTCACCACAGGCAACAGCTGTCCCTAATCACTATTAACTGCAGCTCACTTCCTGGGAAGACACTAGTGCAGGCTCTTTCTGTTCTCGTGTTTCTCCTATAAGTTTCATCGCATTGCTGCATGTACATATTGTGTTGCACTGATTCTTCCCTTAGAGCACTGAACCCTGTTCCCACTGCATTATAGCTGTTTAGGGATGGCTAGATATTGTCTGCTAAGAGAGCACCAAATGTGTGTGCACAAAGGCTCATAGGCCAGTGGGGTGTTAATCTCACTGAACCTCACTTTCCTTACTTCCTGTGGTTTGAAGGATTCAAAAAGCTTAGAATATGGTATGCCACAGCCAGATCCTTTTCCAATCCACCACAAATAGAAAAACATCTTTGACAAATTCATGTCTTATTCATCAGGAATGCTCTTCCTCATTTGTTGCCAATCATCTGATAAACAGTCTACCTGCATAGAAACTTTCTTGGACATACCTGGTTCCTGTGTGGGTGTGTATGTGTGTGTGTGTGTGTGTGTGTGTGTGTGTGTGCATGTGCACACATGTGCTAGCAATAATGGGTGGAAGGCTACAGTATAATGAGACCTATAGGAGCAGACAGTGAACAGGAAAGAGTCTTGAACTCATCTCCCTCTAGGCAGTGAACTGTGGTCAGTGGTAGCTGGGGCAGTTGCTGCGGGCAGCAGGTTGTTCTGGGTACAGAGCCCTGTATGTGCAGCTCTCTGTCTCATACCTGTCAGGTAGGCACTGGGTGCCTCAGGTGCAGAGCATGGAAAACATAAATGCAAGTCTGTTCTTAAACATACCACATAGTGAACTTTCTCTACTATGCGAGGCAGGCCAAGTAGTGATTTTTGGAGCTTTTAAAAGCTCACTGGCCCTTCAAAAATGGCTATTGTGGACATCAGGTTTTAGAAGTTTTTTAAAAAAGCTATAGGGCTTATTTTTAGAATAAACCTTAACCCTGGAAAGCTTCTTAAAGGAGCCACAGAACCTCAGCCAGCTGTTCCCAGAGGTTCCAACATTACTTTTTCTTGTGCTTGATGTGAATATCACGAGGTTGAGCCAAACCTAAGGGAGGCTACTCTTGACAGGATGTGTCCTTGGAGCCAGATATCTGCACTAGGAGTTGTCCATGGAAGCAGTGATTGCTGACCAGTGAGTAGAGACTATGGAGTCACAGATGTGCTGAACGTCTAAGACTCTTCTGAAATAAAGGCTACTTCAGAGCCATGCAGTTAGCCCTAACTGGGTGCATTCAATCTACCCTGAAACCTACTTTCAAAGAGGGCATTCCACGTGGGTGTGACCCCCTTCAGCTATGAGGAGACCCTGGTCTGGGCATCCACACAGCACACTTTTAATTCAGTGTATGCATGTTATGGGCTCTGTACTGGGCAAAGACTGGAAATCAGATAGATGCAGTCCCAGGACAAGATGAAAATTAGTGGGAAAGGCAGACATGAGTCAAATGATTATACCCACACAAAATTGCAGATGAAAAAGTGTCATTAAAACAGCCAAGGATTTATAAAATCTTCCAGCTGAATCTGAACTGGGCTATGAGATTTGATAACAAGGGGACACTTACAGTGTGATCTGGAGGATGACTGGATGGTCACAGCAAGGCGAGGGACACACAGAGCCAAGGGAACATCCTTGTGGAAGTTTTCAGACAGGGAGTGCAGACATGCAGCCTTTTGGAAGAACAGCAAACCTCCAAGGTGTGTAGCATAAAGTGCAAGGGGACCAGTTTGGAGGTTGGAAGCGTGCAGGAGGCAGAGCTCACATGGCAGTGCTGACCATGCTGCAGACTGATCTTAACCTGAGAGGTGCAGTGTTAGAAGCTTCCAATTCATTTCAAGTACAGGCTAGGTCAATTGTATGAGCGCTGTAGGCTCTCTCGTTGCTAACTGTGTTGCCATAAAATAGGTTACAACTCTCTCTTCAGTAGCTGAAGTCTCAAAATTGGAAGGGAAGTGATTCTGTGTGACCTAAGAGGCTGGATTCCGAAAAGGAGGACTTCCACCAGGCTGCTTTCTCTTTCTGAGGAGTCTGACACCATGCTGAGAAGATACTCAGGCAACCACAGAGAGGCCAAATGGGGAGAACCGAGGCTTCTTTCCTACAACCAGCACCACTATTCCAGCCAAGTCACAGATTCTTCAGCCTCGGCTAAACCTTCAGATGATGCAGACCTGGCAGACACCTCTCCATAGTTTCTTATTTCCTAAATGTGCAATGCAATAAATAAAACGAATTATGGTACATTCTTATGAAAGAGGTTATTTAATTAGTTTTTTACTATGCATCTTTTTTTAATTTTTAAGATAAAAGGACGAAAATGTATTAACAAACACACATACATTTACAAAATAACACAAAAACAATACAAACAATACAGAATTTCAGACAAGGTGATAGAAAATTAACAATGGTTGTTGTATTACATATTGATATCTTCAAATTGGTTACTCAGAAAGCAAATATAGACATGTACTATTGGTCAAACAATTAAACTTTAACTTCCTTTCAATAAAGCAATAAAAGTCAGTGGTACAACTATGTTAGCTGTCCTGTATATACATATATACATATTTTCCCCTTCTTTTTTTTCTCTTTTCCCTCACCCCAGTTCTTTCCTATTGAGCAGTTTCCTTTCATTTCACAGTATCTGTTGTACCTCCTAGATTTTTATTCACTCTTTCTGGTTCTTACACTAGTGAGACAATATGTTGCTTACACATGCAGGTCTGATTTATTTCACTTATGAGGATGGTTTCTAGTTGTGTCCATTTACGTATAAAAACCTCAAGTTTATCTTTCTTTAGAGCTGAGTAATATTCTGTTATATAAAAATACCACAACTTTTTTATCCATTCCTCAGTTGATGGGCATTTGTTTGCTTCCATGATTTAGCTATTACAAATTGCACTGCTATAAACATGGGTGTACATATATTGCTGTGATATGATGTTTTCAGTTCTTCTGAGAAAATACCCAGAATGGAAATAGTTGGGTTGAATGGGACCTCTAGTACTAGTTTACTGAGAAATCTCCAAACTGATCTCCACAGTGGTTTCACCAGTCTACACTCCCACCAGCAGTGGAGAAGGGTTCCTTTTTATCCACACCCTTGCCAGCATTTGTTATTGGTTGATTTCTTAATGATAGCTACTTTTACTGGAGTGAGATGGAATCTCAGTGTTATTTTAAATTGCATTTCAGGAATGACTAATGATGTTGAACATTTTCTCATGCATTTATTTGCTATTTGCATTCCTTCATCTGAGAAGTGTGTATTCATCTCAGATGCCCATTTTTGTATTGGATCTTTAAATTTTGGGAGGCTGATGTTTTTTAATTCTTTAATGTTGTAGATAGAAGTCCTTTGTCTGACGGACAGCTGGCTAAAATGTTTTCCCAATTTGTGGGTTTTCTTTTTACTCTGCTGGTGATTTCTTCAGATATGCAAAAACTTTTCAGTAAGATGAGATTCCAGTTGTTGATTCTTTGAAGTATTTCCTGTGCAGTTTGGTTTTTGTTCATGAATTCTCTGCCTACTACTATGTCTTCAAGATTTTTTACCTGGTTTCTCTTCCAGTAGATTTAGTGTTTCTGTTTTAATATTTGGATCTTTAAGCCATTTTGACTTGAGTTTGGTGTATGGTGAAAGACATGGATTTAGTTTGACATGTGGTGAGCCAATTTTTCCAGCACCATTTATTAAAGAGGCTATCTTTCTTCCAGTGGACTTGTTTGGCCCTTTTGTCAAAGACAAGGTGGCTGAGTGTGTTTGTGGTTGTAGCTGCATCTTCCATTCTGTTCCATTGAACCTCAGGTCTGTTTCTTTTTGTCAGTAACATACTGACTTTATCACAGCAGCTTTACCGTATAGTTTCAAGTCAGGGATTGTGATACCACCTGCCTTGTCTTTGTTGCCCAGGATTGCTTTTGCTATTCTGGGTCTTTTCTGGTTCCAGATGAATTTTAGGAATGTTTTCTGTAGATTTGTGAGGTATACTAATGGTATTTTAATTGGAATTGCATTGAATCTGTACAACAATTTTGGAAGTATGGCCACTTTCACAATGTTGGTTCTTTGTATCCATGAGCAAGGAATATCTTTCCATTTTTAAAAATCCTCTTTGATCTCTTTTTTCAGAGTACTGTAATTTCTACTGTATAGATGTTTTACTTCTTTTTTTAGATTGATTCCTAGATATTTCAGTTTTTTGGATACTATTATGAAAGGTGTGGTTCCCTTAATTTCTCTCTCAATGTGTTTGTTGTTTGTGTATAGGAATGCTATTGATTTTTGAGTGCTGACTTTGTATCCAGCTATACTACTGAATTTGTTGATTAATTCTAGAAGTGTTCTGGTGGAGTTTTTTTGTTTCTTCCATGTAGAGCATCATGTCATCTCTAAATAATGATAATTCTACTTCTTTCCTATTCTTATTCCTTTTATAACTCTCTTGTCTAATTGCTCTGGCTAATGGTTCCAATCGTTGTCTTTTTCCTGATTTTAAAGTGAAAACCCTTTAAGTCTTGTGCATTTAGTATGATATTGGCTTTGGTTTGTCATAGATGGCTTTGATCAGGTTGAGGTAAAGATCATTGATTCCTGTTCTCTGTAGGGTTTTTATCATGAATGCATGCTGGACTTTGCCAAAAGCTTTTTCTGCATCTATTGAGATGATCATGTGATTTTTGTCTTTGGCTCTGCTGATATGGTATATTACATTGATTGATTTGTGTATATCAGACCATCTCTGCATCCCTGGGATGATCCTACTTGGTCATGGTGTATTATCTTCTTGAATTGCTGAATTCTATTTACTAGTATTTTATTGAGTATCTTTACATCTATGTTCATTAGGGAGATTGGCCTATAGTTCTCTTTTTTGGTGGAGTCTTTTTCTGGTTTTGGCATCAGTATAATACCTACCTCCAGAAATGAGTTAGGGAGAATTACTTCATTTTCAATTTCATTAAAGAGTTTGAGGAGGCAGTGAGTTCTCCGGGAGCGGCAGGACTCCTGGGACCGAGTGTGGGCTGGACGCATACCACCACGATTCCCAGCTGAAAAGCGCGCAGAGCCAGGTAGGCCCCATCCAATCCCGGAGGCCAGGACGTGAGAACAAAGACCC